CTCAGCACTCAAAAACTATTGGCCAAGTGTGCATTAGGATTTAATGGCAAAAATAATTGCTAATCAACTATATTCAACCGAATCACAAAGCAAAATCGCACATATATACCATGTAATAGTGCATAGAATTTGCCATATTTGCTCCAGAGAAATGGATATTAAAATAAAAATGCTAGCCGGCTTAGATCACACATTCGGTAAAATTCACATGATCCTCATACAATGCCTGAATTAAACCCCTGACCGTTTTAATCAGATCACAAAACAAAGAATTTCCCAAAAAACATGCTTACATAATTACAGCTCCCTGCCTCGAATATATGCACCTTGGCATGTTGAGATATACATACATTCTTTGTACTTGAGGGCCAGTCATCATGTAACACAAGTTTGAATTTTGTGTTAATGTACTATGATTTTATACCTATATTTTTTTTGACTACGTCAACTGAAAGTATTTGCCTACTGTCAAGTTATGATAAATAGAGAGTAATTGACAGAAGAAAATAAATGTTTTTGTTTTTTTAAATTGCGGTTGAAAGAACGTATGATGTTCGTTGTAATTTAGTTTAACACATTAAACTTCTTAGCAATAAGCACCAATATTGTTTAAGCCATTCTATGCTAATTTACAAAGAACTTGTAACTCCTATGAATACTGTGAATTCTGTCTCTCTTAGCATACAACAGCGGGAATCATGTACATGTACTTGTATCACTCCAAAACTTGAAAATACCGGTATATAGAAAACAGATGTGTTTGTGTGATTGTTTCTTGGAGATAGGAAATTAGGCGAGGGTTCTCCGAACCCGGCTATTCACATAGTTCATACCCACCATAGAATCCGGTCAGTCAAAATGACCATTTTGAACTGTAGGCATTAATCAGCGATTCTGCCGGTGATGGAGAGATAGAATCCAGGTCAGGGGAAGCCCCATGACCTCAAGATTCTTTTACCCCTTACGTCACGAACCCACGTGACCGAGGCCACCTGGCAGCGCCACAGGTAGCCGTCCTTCACTCTGGTTCCTTTCTCTCCGCCTCGAGGACTTAGACCAACGCGACGGAAAGAGTGGGGAGGTTGGGGGGACCCGG